AGCAGCTGTCGTTCGCAAGACGTTGAGAGGCCGCCATCTTGGAAATACCCACACAGGTCAACATGTGACCGGAAGAATACAAAAATTCGATTTTTGTTTGCTTGGACAAATTATAACATACGCGTACCCATTAATCTATGAAGATATCCATAAATAATCTAAAAAAAGTTGACAGTAACGAGTGATGTTTTTTTTCATGCCGTGTCTATACCAGCCTCGCGTCTAAGATGTTGATTGAAATCGGTGTAGGCCTACCATGTTCGGTGTTATTACGATCGGCAAAACAAACACCTACTGGCATTTTATTTCTAAAATTACGAAATCATACCTGAACAATCTGAAGTTGACCTCAACCATGGAAATGTCTTCTTCCACGACTCATCAAAACCAGCCTCACGCCGTTTCTGTGTTTCTACACGCTTCCGTTTTTGTGTTGTGCTAGCGGTGACTGTACGTTTTAGCCGGGCGGCATCACCTTTTTTTCCTTTACATGTTTTGTCATATAGCATCTCGGTGTTTGCAACTCGAGTGACAATTTGTTCCCCATTGACAGCGTCCGTACTTCACACGTGTTTAACAATGGGACTGTTTTATTCGTCCCGGCAAGTTCAAAACACCGTGACGTTGACAGTGTTAATTTATGCAGTGCTACGTGTGAGTGGGTCAAATGGATGTAAATAATGCATCCTATTAGCATGGCAGTGAAGTTGTAAGCATGGCGGTCCGAGCCCAAGCGTGGTGGCCGGGTCGCCAAGCATGGCGGTGCCGCCATGCTTTGTTCTATGTGGGGAGAACACTGGGGGTTATTCAAAATGACCTATTGACCTACATGTTCTGTGTCTTGCTGATTGTTCAAATTTAGGATCTTTTCTTTTTTCAATTCGCCATGCTTTTCTTTCTCTGTGTATCCTTGTTCTTGATTGTTGATTTATTGGTAAACCAATATCAATGCCAGCGGAGGCTAGAAAAAAGAATTAAGCGATTCAATTTATGCAGCAATATGGGGATTATGTGTGTCATTTAGAAATTAACAAGCCATGCATGTGACAGTCCCCGTTAGTTATCAAATTTAAGATATATAGTTTTGTTTATAGTAATATAGCTGGAATATAACCATGTCAGGAATATGATTTTTTAACATTAAAATAATTGACATTTGTATCTGATTGTCAAACAAGTACTTGAAACAGCATTCAAAATCAGCCATTTTGAATTTATATATATATATATATATATATAACATGATGTATAACGAATATATAAAATTTGAATATAATCAGTCAAAGCATTTAAGAGATATGGCTCTAGAAGCCCAGTCATTAAAACAAAATGGCCGCCAGTCAGCCATTTTGAATCCAAGCTGAAAAATAAAATGATGTGCATCAGGAACCCGTAATGTCTAATGTATGTACCAAGTTTGAACGAAATCAATCCATAAATGCCAGAAATGCTTGATATTTGATGATTTTCTAGCAGAAAAATTGCCACCATTTGGCCATTTTGAATAGGATCGTTAAACCAAAAAATCTGTTCATCTATGACATGATGTATAATGAATATTTAAAATTTGAACATAATCAGTCAAAGCAAGTCAGAGATATGGCACTAGAACCACATTCACTAAAACAAAATGGCCGCTAGTTGGCCATTTTTGATGTGCATCAATGTCCTATAACGTATATACAAGGTTTGAACAAAATCCATCTGTAAACAGCCGGGAAATGCTTGATTTTGATGATTTTTTAGCACAAAAATGGCCACCGTTCGGCCATTTAATAGGATCGTCAAAGCAATATATCTGTATATCTATGATATGATCTATAATGAATATTTAAACTTTGAACATAATCAGTCAAAGCAAATCAGAGATATGGCATGAGAACCACATTCATTAAAACAAAATGGCCACCATTTTTAATTTTATCTGAAAAACAAAATGATGTGCATCAAGCTCCTATAATGTCTAACGTATATACCAATTTTGAACATAATCCATCTGTAAACAGATGAAAAAAGTTTGATTTTGATAATTTTTAGCACAAAAATGGCCGCCATTCGGCCATCTTGAATCAGATCATGAAACAAATTGACGTGCATGTGCATGTGCATATGTATAATATCATGTATGATGTATGTGTGAAGTTTGATTGTGATTGGTCCAGGCATTACTAAGATACAGGTTTGGACGCACGCACGCACGGTAACACAGACGCACAGAGGTCAAAACATAAGTCCCTGTTTTCGGACTGCGTTCGAATGGGGACTAATAATGAGTGATGTGAATATATAGAAAGTGTTATGACAGAACCCCACACCCTCCGTGTGGCTTTTGTTGCGTATGGAAGTTATTTTCACAAGTGATGCGGTGTATCCTGCGGCCGTGCTTTCACGAGCGAAGCAAGTTAAAGTACAGCAGAATACACCGCATCTCGAGTGGTTTATAAAACTCAGTTTCCAGGTGATCAACATACATTAAGTTCTTCCAATCATAGTATTCCATGTGATGTACACCTAATATGCCAAAAATGTTGCTGAACGATTTGAACCGGATAAAAATAGCAGACGAAAATATGTTTTCAAAATAAGAATAGTTCAGTAGCAAATGGAAATACCATGTTCATTTGCATATAGACTGTGAAAATACCGAAAACATTATTACAAGGGTGATATGCAAATTAGTTTTAGTCAAAATAAGTGACTGCCTAAAAGTACCAATGTTGTTCAAATTTCATTTCACTAGGGAAGGGACTGCTTTGTTTGCTCTCAGACCTCATTTGCATATGGGTGTAGAAATACCGATTTTGAGTTCAGGGACGAATCAAAATAAACTGCAGTACATATGTCATAATGTAAAGCATTCATTTTTGCTAGTAGGTATTTTGAAGTGGGAGGGTTGTTAGCTGCGCATGCGGCAGACCGCCATAGCATATCATTTTTAACAAACAAACATCTTCCCATGAGCCTTTGCATTTTTAGCATGCATTGTTATCGTTGTGTCAGACTCAATTCCCACATATGCACAGGTATTTTGCACAAGACAAAATTCCACCAATGGCTGGGGGTATTCTGTCCATAAATATTAAAATCGTTATTTTGCCTTCAAAATCTTATCCTACTTTATTTACAATCGCTGTTTAACAACGCGTGATGTCTGAAAGTGACACTGTGATGTAACTACTGTAAATCACTTCAATTTCAGCTGGAATTTATTTTCGGTGAAAAGACATTTTTGGCTGTCATGTATTTTTTTCTGATTTTTGATGAGTTTGTGAACTTTATTTTTACCAATTCATCCTTCCAGTGAAAATAAAGTATTTTACAAAACGTAAAATCATTTGGAATGCTAGTGACATTTAATCAAAATGGTTTCTTATCAAAATTGCAGTCATTCAGTTTACAATTGCCACACAAACTTTCTGGGCTGAAGTTTTAGAATTGTTTACAGATTAACTCGTGGAAGAGGTGTTGCATGTCTAAGACAAAATAAAAAAAAAATCCAGAACTTTGAGCAGGATACAAATACATGTATCTTAATGCTGTAACAGCGAGTATTTCCTTGATTTACCCAGAACTCTGAGCGAATCCCCCTTGATTCTGGCTGCTGGACATTTTCGTTCATGAAATCGTCGGACATCATCAGAAAACACGGAAATTGTGCAGTTTTTAATAAAACCAAGTTAGCAATTATGAACAATGGTTATTAACGTAACACCTGATCCCCTCTAAAATTTTTGTTTCGCATTTTAAGGTAAGAAATCGACATTTGAAACCAACAGGGTGTCGATTTACTAGGTGCCGTGTTTCACAACTTGTTTATTTATATACGTATAGTGGATGATTTTTTTTTTTTTAAATTAGTATTTATTGATTTTCAGCCCCCAAGTGACTGTGGGGGGGGGGGGTAAGAGTTAGGATCAGGAGTGTGCTTACAAAAAAATTCTTTGCTCGATTCGCATTATTAGTAATATCGATGAGAAAAATCGAAAAAAAATAGTACTGATCAATTTAGTATGTATTATTTTTTTTCAGCCCTCAAGTGTCTGCTTGGCTGGCTGCAAATATGCACATGCTCGGATCTGGAGAGATTCATATATAATCGATATATCAAGCAAACAATGCAGTTACTTTACAGAACTTACCACCAGTACAAAGACATCGCGTGCTGATTAGTGAAAGTCCGTAGTTCGCAATCGGACAAGGTGTTGGCGGTGAAATCTTAGTAAACGATTTTGCTGTGTCCCGAAGCACTCTCAATAAGGGCGCAGACATTTTGGATGGACGTATTTGCCATGCGCAATGACCCAAGGTCATACTCCCAGCAGTGCTGTGGCGTTGACGACTGAACGATCGATCGATGAGTTGTTGTTTTTCTGATTTTCGAATCATTTGATATGTTTGGCTTCGTGGTGAGTATATTCATTTATAGTTAAGCAACCAACTGTTGTCTTCCGTGTTGAACGGATTGGACTAAACCGTAACGATCCGAGTAAACGGAATGTTTTGAGAAAGTGTGCTCAGCTGTTTTTGAAATATTAAGGACTTTAAGACCAACGCCATCAACACCAATTTGCTTTACATTCCATTATTTCTAAAAAATTCATAAGATAATTTGATTTAGTTGAACAACACGTCAATTTGCACTATATGACGAAATCTGTACAAGAATTTAAAGTGTAATTCCATGGTCTATCTAAAAAATAGCTGTTTACACTGTATACCAGCTGGACGAAAGGGGTCAGTAGGTTACTCATCCATCACCCAGTGTACTTGTAGTTGGTATAAATGACAATGAGGTACAAAA